AGACATGGGCTTGTCCCACTTGACACATACCAGCTGTGTGAGCCTGGGAAGGCTGCTTAACCTTTGGTGCTCTAGGCAAATTTCTAAGACTCAGAAATTGCAGAGAAGGTGTCAACCTACATTGGTGGGTGGACTTTCCTCATCTTGGAGTTCCTTATACATTAGGAACTCTTTCCCTATTATGTCTCCTATCCATATTATGTCTCCACTGATGTGCTTCTCTTATGCCCCTGTGCCAGATGGTAGGGAGCAGCTGGAATAAAGGTAGGGGGGCACTTTTTCAAATGAGAAAGTGTGCTCAAAGTTCTTTGTAAAGTTTCATGGGTACTGCTAGATGGTGCCATAGAGCATAGAGTGCTGGGCTTGAGGTAAGGCAAACTCATCTTCCTGAGTTCAAATCTAGCCTCAGACACTTACTAGCCGTGTGACCCTGGGCAAATCACCTCACCCTGTTTGCCTCAGTTTCCTCAATCTGTCAAATGAGCTGGAGAAGGAAATGGCAAACCATTCCAGTATCTTAGCTGAGAAAACTCCAAAATGGGGTCATGAAAGAGTTGGAAATGACTCAACAACAGCAACAAAAATGTCATGGAACACCAGTTAATCATCACTGTGATTATTATGAACTTTTATCATGATCTAAATACTGTTAGTTGGAAGCTTTCAAAAGTTTTTTGTTCAAGAAAGAGATTAGAGAGAGGTGGTCTGGTTTAGTGGAAAAAATAGGCCTGGAGTCAGTTGACCTGGGTTTGAATCCCACATTTGCTACTTGCTTATGACCTTAGGCAAGTCACTTACCTTCCTGGGCCTCAGTTTCTACCTCTGTAAAAAGATTTATACTACCTGCTATGCAGGGTTGTTGCTCTGCAAGCCGGAGTTATTTTACTAAGAAAAGAAGTGGGGAGGTGCAGTTAGGTGGTACAGTGTATAGAATACTGGCCCTAGGGTCAGGAGGACCTGAGTTCAAATCTGAATTTAGACATTAACTAGCTGTGTGACCTTGGGCCAGTCACTTAACCCTGATTGCCTCAAAAAATGTTTTTAAAAAGAAGTTGAGAATTCCCTTGAAACTGAAAGAGTATGATGTTGAGGGATTCTTCGAAAAATGAATGCAAATTGCCTAATGGCAGATTCAAACCATTAGCTGACTTTACCAAAATACAAATTCTTCCTGTCACTGGCTGGAAGTCATCCATATGGTCCTGCCATTTGGGGAATGGGAGGAGGGTTGTTGTAGGGGAAGCATGTTCAGGCTTTTGGGAGTAACATTCACAGAATTATAGATGTAGAGCTGGCAGTGACCCCAGAAACCTTCAAGTCCAACTTCTTAATTTTAAAGAGGAGGAAACTGAGGCAGGTCACACATAGGCTCCTAGATCTCAGAGGTTGGCTAGTCCACTCTTTTTCTCTTCTTCGAAAGAGACTGAGCCTAACCCTAACTGAGGCTCAGGTAGAAGTGACTTTTTCAAGGTCACACATAGGTCACAGAACATAAAGCTAGATCTGGATGGGACCTCAGTTCACCAGTTTAATTTTCTCATTTTACAAAAGAGGAAACTGAGGCCCATAGACAGCTTAGATCTAAAGCTAGAAGGGCCTCTGGAGTCCATTTAACCCATTCATTCCTTTTACTCTGGAAAATTGAAAGATAGCAATATTATATGAAGAAATCGAGATCCGAAAAGATTAGCTGACTTACCTAAGACCAAACAGATGTCACAGGTGGGGTTTAAACTCCAATTCCAGAGCTGATGCTCTTGCCCTTGCACCACAATACTGAGCCACATCATTCTTTGGCCCCTGCTGCTTTCTCCAGAAGAGTGGCCACTGGCCTATCTCCTCCAGAGGTAGGTGTTTAATTATTCCCAGAGAGCACCTGACTCTTTGGCCAAGAATTGAATCACAAGCCTACCACATTGGAGAGGAAATGATTCTTTTGGAGATGGAGGTGGTAAGATGCAAGAATCAGGACTTAAGCTGAAAAGAGAGCATTAAATGCCTGGGGGAAGGGTTTCAAGAGCTAGATTCGAGTTCTACCTTTGCTACTTATTCTTTGTTTCACCTTGGACAAGTCCCTTCGTCTCTTAGCCTCATTTTCCCAGTCTGTACAATGAGAAGGTTAAACTGGATCAAATGGATTTGGAGAAAAATCCTGGTTCAAATCCTGCTTCTAACACTCATTGGGTACGTGACTACCGACATCCTTTGACAGCCTTAGTTTCCTCATCTTAAAAATGGGCATAATGACAATAGCTTCAGTACTTACTTTTACAGAGCTGTTGTGAGCCTAAAATGAGATGGCATATTTGAAGTGCTTTAGAGTGTTATATAAGCATTAGTTATTAGTATTACTTGATACTGATTAGTGAAAACCCATATAGTCAGAGGCAGCAATTTCCTGGTTTTGTGACATGGGCCCCAGGGTCTCTACCTAAGAAGTGTGGAAATCTTTATTTATTTTTAATAATTATACATTAACATTTATTTAAAAATTTTGAGTTCCAAATTCTCTTCCTCCCTTCAGCTCCTCCCCCCACCCATTGGGAAAGCAAGCAATAATGATATAGATTATACATGTGAAGTTATGCAAAACATTTCCTTATTAGCCATGTTGCAGAGGAAAAAAGAAAGTAGATGAAAAAAAGATGCTTTGATCTTCATTCAGAGGTCACCAGTTCCATTTCTGGAGGTGGGTAGCATTTTTCATCATGAGTTCTTTGGAATTGTCTTGGTTCATTGAATTGATTAAGAGTAGCTAAGTCTTGAGTTGTGAAATTTTCAAATGAGTACCAGAGGAAAAGTTTTAATGTATTTCAAGGGAAAAGAGGCAGAGAGTCTTCTATAGATCGCAATATCCTCTGCAGGATATTGTACTGACTGTAAAAAGGTCTGGGACCCGACAGAACCTACTGGAGGAGATCCATAGCCACTCAAAAGTGCTCGGTCTGAACATTCACACTGGGAAAACCAAGTGGATGAAGAAACATCTATTGCCTAGAAGATGATAGGTAGGTGAATGGATAATCCATAGAAGTAGTCTGTTAGTACATATATCTTTGATGGGTACTTCAGAGGGACAATAAGTTGAGTTTCTGAGTATATCCTGAAATGATACACTTGTTGTTGTGTTGTTAAACAATAGGGGGTATCAAAGAATTGCTCTCATGAGAAATTCTTTATATTCAAGGAATGTTCAAAGGATCGAGAATCAGTCAAAGTTTGATTTTTCAAGCAGAGTATCCCATGAGTGATGGTGTTTGGATATCACCCTGTGACTGCTTGGGTCTGTTCTGTTTCCTAGAACTTAGCCATGGGGACACCGAGTAAAGCAGCCCAGGTATAAATTCCATCCAATTTGAGGTGGAACATTCTAGGATCTTTGGGAAGCCTCAACTTTCCTCTTCTGTAAAATGAGGGGGTTTCCAGGATAATTCAGCTATTGGTTCTCATATGGGCTATTCATAAGAGCATAGCTCTAGAGCTGCAAGGGACCTTAAAGGTCACTGTGCCCAATCCCCTTATTTTACAGATGAGGAATCTGAGGCCCCCAAAGGTGAAGTGACTTGTCCAGGGTCACATAGCTAGAATTTGATGCGGGATGTGAAGATGGGTCTTTCTGACTTCAAGTACCCACAAACTGCTCATCGATAACTCTTCTCTTTTTTGAATTTCCTATGGACCCCTTAATATTCCTAAAGAAACATGTTCTAAGGTTATCAAAAGCAAGCCTGGGAAATAGAGAAATTATATCATAGGGTTGGAATGACACTAATTATAATCAATATTATACATACTGGAGACATGTACCAGCTGCCTATGCTCGGGGACACCACTCAGTGACTAGATCAGTGACTTATTCTCATCCTCCTCCCAACATCCTCCAGGGTTTTGCAGTCAATGTGTATCCTGTAGGGTTTTAAAAATAAGACACACTTCCAAGTTCTTAGATGTAATAAATTTTTATTTAATTTTATTTTGGAATAAGATACAGTTTATGCAAGCCAAGTAACGAGTTGTATCTTTTTATTCATAACATTTTATGCTTTCTCTTTCATTTAATTATGAAAATCACTTGTCTGGCTTGTAACATTTCATTGGCTTTAGCTTTAGCGTGGTGTTTGTTTGAAAGCTATTAATACTATGTTCCCTAGAAATGTCATATATATATATATATGACTTTGCAAAACGAAACAAATTTTGACAGACACCTTGATCTTGGGACTCCCAACAACCACTGATGTTGGACATTGACTCTGATTTTTAAGAGCCAAAATTCTCTCTTTAAACTCTACTTCTTTATAGCGAGTGGCCTTTGGCCTTTCTACAAGAGAGATAACCCAGCCAACCTCATGTTTTTTATCAATGACCCACAGTAGTGTTGTGTTTCCTTCCATGTCCTGCCCTGGCCCCTTGGTTCCCAATTGGCCAAATGGAAGAACTCAATATGGGTGTCATGCTCATATGCTGTATCTCTAAGAGCTGACCCATTTGTAGGAAAGAGTTCTGGCTTTTTCTTACAGTCAAAGAGTGTTTGCAAGACTGATATGATGCTTAAATGGGAGGATATGGTCTTGGCTGTCTTTTCCCTCCAACTGTGACTAGATCAGAGGAGGCAGAGATGGGTCTGATGGGAGTTCTACTAGGCATCATTATTACAAAAAGAATTATATCATAGAGTAACTAGATATTGAAAAGAGCTATGTCTTCCTAACTTCTAACTCAGTTTATATCAATTGAAGCACATTTCTGAACCACCAACTCTTTCCCTCTCTTATTGCAAGCCCATTTCACACAGAATATCTTAGTGACCATTTGATAGCCATAAATGTGAAGATGGACAAAAGAAACTAAAAATTCAAAATAAGCAGCACTAGGAATACATGCTTTTTAAAAGAAAATATGGCATTGGTCTCCCAACCGGGAAGATGAAAACTTTGTAATGATTAGCATTTGATAAACCAGCATGTGAGGAAACCTTGGCTAGTCAAAAGCCCTTATCGGCTGCAGTTACAGTTGCTTCATGGTAATACAACTACGTTCATAACTAACATTCATCTGCATTGAAGAAGCTTTGTATTGCCGAATGTCTGGCTGAAAGAACTATGGAAAACAAAAACTGGCTCATGATAGCCAGGGTATCAATAGCATATGGAGCCTAGGAAGCCTCAGAGCTGCAGAAAAAATCCCAGGTCTCTAGCCAGAGACTGCACATTAAGCTATCCAGCATGTGCTTGTGGTGAAAGGGTGGGGGGCAGTCTGGTACTATGGGGCCTGTGGGCTCAGTGTTAATATGCTACCATTGCTAGGGTATTATTAAGGGTATTATTGGGGTATCACTGGTATTGCAAAAGAAAGACCAACACATACACAACTTCAAATGCACTTGAGATTCTCACACTTTGAAAATAAACCCTTGCCCGTGCTCTATGAGAAGGAGATATTGAGAACTCAATTTAGGCCATACCTTCCAAATGGGGGGTTTAAAAGAGGACCTCCGAACATAGAGGTCCAGGTCACGCTGCTGACACCAACAGATGATACATTGCCTTGGGCGATGACTGGGCCTCCAGGTGGGACCATGGCTGGTGCCCCAGGTGGTGCTACAGGTGGGGCCATGACTGGTGCCCCAGGTGGGGCCATGACTGGTGCCCCAGGTGGGGCCATGACTGGTGCCCTAGGTGGGGCCCTGACTGGTGCCCCCATTGGTGGGGCCATGAGTGGCGCCATGGCTCGTGCTGCAGGTGGGGCCATGGGTGGGACCATGGCTGGTGCTGCAGGTGGGGCCATGGGTGGGGCCATGGCTGGTGCTGCAGGTGGGGCCATGGGTGGGGCCACGGCTGGTGCTGCAGGTGGCACCATGGGTGGTGCCATAGGTGGTGCCATTGGTGGTGGCATGTGTGGCATGGCTGCGCCAAAATGCTGGACCCTCCAGGCAGCATCCGTGGGGTTTTCAGGAAATTGCATATCTCTGTAGAAGCCTATAGGCTGGGTGATGGTGAAGGCTGAGAAGCGTCTGAACATCTCTTTTTTCTCACGCTTCCGTAGTTTGGCCCTACGGTTCTGAAACCAAACCTTCATTCAGAAGGAAAGAGAGGGGTCCTTTTAGTACTGAGAAGTTATGACCTTAAAACTGTACTTGAAAAATAACTATGCCACCCCAATTTTTAATTGTAAGAGAAAGCATCTGGAGAAAGAAATGGCAAGTTCCTGCTGGGCAATGAACACGCTCCTATTCTTTGCTGTATGGGATGACTCTGGTAAGGAGGTGGAGGTGGGGTGAGGACAGATATCTCAATGGAAAACCAGAAAAATCAATAAAATTTTTATTAAAAAAAACCCCAAACCAAGACCTCCTCCTTGTTGCTCTGACCTTCTATTCTCTCACTTGCAGTAGTTTTACTTGCACTATTCAGAACTGACCCACAGTGAAGAAGTACAACCTCTATTAATTATGGAACTTCATCTCTTTCCTTGAGCACAGCCTACTAGTTTGAGTGTTGTCCCTGAAGTCAAGAATCTTGCCTCCAATAATTACTGGCTATGTGACTTTGGGCAAGTCTCTTAAACTTCCTGTGCCTCAGTTTCCATACCTGTAGGCTAAATATACTAAGTGCCTCAAATGGTTGTTGGCGAGGATCAAATGAGTTAATAATGTATGTGAACTATTTCACAAACTTCAAAGTGCTTTATAAATTAGAGATGTTCTTAGTAAATAGGAAATATAATTTCAAAATATATTTGCCTATTGTCACTTGACCTTGGAGAGCCAAGAGGAAGGCTTTGCCAAATGGGGATGCAATTATAATAAATCTTATCTTATCTTATATTATTATATTATATTATATTATATTATATTATATTATATTATATTATATTATATTATATTATATTATATTATATATTATATTATATTATATTATATTATATTATATTACATTACATTATATTATTAATAATAAAAATCTTAAGGCACAAGACATGCTTATGTACACGTACAAATCAGTCCCATGTTCTCTCCAGGGCAGGGCTCTAACAAACAGGTTGGGGGACTTAGTTTTCCTTCATGATGTGAAATCTCAAGGGTTAGGGAGAGAGACATGATGGAGACCATATTTTCCAAACCCTGAATTGAGGACACATAGTCTGATGAAGTTTGGCTCCAATGTTCCAGTTTCATCCCCACTATGGACCTGCGAATTTAGGGAGTCAGACTAGCCAGCCTGTGAGAGATCCTTTTCAGCTCTAGCACTACAGAACTTTGAGAGTTTAAATTCAGCTGATAAAGAGACCAGAAGAGGTCCCCTTCCCCACCAGCTACCATCTTCTTTTTGTTTTAAACCAGGGCTACTAGATAAGACACCATTAAGCAAACAAATGACCATCACCTTTAGATTTGCAATCTGTTAGAGGAATTCACTGACTGTTTCCATTTAGGCCATTTTGATGATGGCAAAATCCTGCCACAATTCTGCCACATTCTGCTTTCCATTTTAAAATGGGGACCTCATGACTTGGCCTTCCTTTTAGGGTGGCCAGATGCTGTTATTCCTTACATTTTCCATAGGACATTGAAAATGAGGGGGGCTAAGGCCCAGCTTTGGCACGGAAATGCCTGTTAGGAAATTCTCAAAACAAAATTAACTAACTGAACAAGAGAATGAAAATAAAGAGTCTGGTACATAAGCTATGGCATGGGTCTCCTTTTCTGCTGTTGGCTGAGGGAAAAGAAGGTATGACAAAATCTAAGCAGTCAATGGCAAGAAGCTACAATTCCAAATGTTGTAAACACTAGTACTAGTACTACTACTACTACCACTACTATTACTTCTATTACTACTATTACTTGATATAGTTCTTTCAATTATAGAGTGACTTCCATACATAGTCTCGTTTGATGCTTATATGTGGATTTTAGAACAAAGAAGAAAGCCATTATCAATCAACATTGCTAACCATCATCTGACATTTTATGAAGGAAAATATCTGGGGTTCAATATATATTCAGCACAACAGCCATCTAACTATAGTTCTAGACAACTCTAGACTGATAGAATAGAGACTATAAAGATCACAGTTATTTTACAGATGGATAAACCGAGGCCTAGAAAAAGGAAGGGATTTCCTTGAGGTCTCATAACTAGTTAGTGGCAGCTGGAACTCAGTCTCACATTCTTGACTTGCAGTGTTTACTGGGCACAGAACTGCTATCACAGAGATTAGGAAAGAGCTTCAATTAGATTTAGTCTTTAGACAGAATTCAATGATAGTCCTTGGACTATATACATATGATAAATATAGGCATTCCTAGAAATATATTTGTTTTACATGTATTCTATAATCTATATATTTTCTACATGTATTCTATAATCTATATATGCATATATACATATATCTATATGTATTCTATAATCTATATAATTCTATAATAAAATAGTTTATAATATATTTATCAAACGCAAATATATTTAGATTTATGTAACCTAGAGAGTTGCAGAGCAGGTGCCCAGATGCACTGGTAGAGGGAATTTTTTAAACTAGGAGATCCCTGTACTAATCAAAATCCCATTTCTGGTATAATTTTAAAATAGACATGAATATAAATTATTCAGAAATATATTTAGATTTTGATAGCATTTTAATATATTTCATAAATATTTCTAAGGAATACATGTTTTATCAATCATAGAAACTGAAATATATTAATATAAACATAACACATCTATATTTTAATATAGATGCTTTCAAAATCACACAAGACCTGTGATTTTATGGGTGAAGGGAATTCCTTGTTCAGAAATTCCCTTTCTGAATGCAGGTTAGCACCTGCTCTGACACTTTCCAAATTATGCAAATCTAAATATATTTATGGTTTACATACTCTAGAAAGCCAAATATTAAAAGATTACACCAGACTTTCATTTATATGGCAGAGATCCACTGGCAAAGAAAATTCCTCTATCAATGTAGGTCAGTATCTGCACAGGAACTTGTATTCTAGAAATCTAAATCTATTAATGGTTTCCTCTAACTACTAAAAAAAATCACAGCAGACTTATGATTTATGTTGGTATAGGGAACTCCCAGAAAAGAAATTCTCTCTACCAATGCAGGCTGGCATCCACTCTGCAATGTTACATTCTGTAAATGGCAATTTATTAATGCTTTATAAATGCACATATATATGTATAAATATATTTGATCTAAATATTTTAAAAATCACACTGGATTCATTCTGTACTTTCATTGGTATAGGGAAGTCCCTCCCTCTTTGAAATCTCTATATTATATAGATGGTTTGGAAATACATAATACATACACATATATTAAAAGAACACACTCAATATTATACATTTGTATAGGGAATTCTCTCCTTCCCTCAAATTTCCATATTATAGATGGTTTAGAAATATATTTATATATATATATATTATATATATATATAATAAAATATTATACCTAAGGTTATACACTTGCAAAGGGAATTCCCAGTGTAGGAACTCCCTCTACCAATGCTGATTGGCATTTGCTCTGCAAATTTGTTCTATGAATCTAAAAATATCCATGCTTTATAAATAACATGTGCACATTTATCAAATGTATTCATTTATATAAATTTAAAACATATATTTTATCTAAGTATCTTAAAATCACAGTAGCCCTGTGATTCTGTTGGCATCGAGAATCCCTGGTAGAGAAACTCCTGCCACAGTAGCTTGGCCCCTCTCTGCAACTCTATATCACACAGGGCTACATACATTTGTGCTTTATAAACATACATGTATAATGTTATATAGAATGTATATAGTATGTACATTATGTATATATTACATATATGCATGTATATAAGTATGTACATGCATATAGGTATATTATATACCATATATCATATGTACACACACATATACAACCTACGTGTATATATACATATAATATACATACATGTGTACATATGTATAATATACAATATAATCTTATATAAAATATATTCTAATTTATATCTTATCTAAATATTTTAAAATCACACCAGACTTGTGATGTCATTGCCAGGGGAAAATTAATTCTCCCCATGTAGAATGGCACCAGGTCTACAACTTTACATGATACAAATATAAATATATTTATGGATTCTAGGGCCTTGGGAGTGGCCTTTTAACTGAGTCCAAGTTTTACAGAACATCTTTTTATTAAGTGGATTTATTCTGTGAAGTTTGGATTCAGTCAGAAGGCCACACTTGAGGACCTAGAGGGCCACAGAGTGGCCTCTAGGCCACAGGTTCCCCACCCATGGTCTAATCTATACAATGGGTTTAATCTCTTACCTTTTCATATTAACCTTATAAGGTGCTGAAGTGCATTTATCAATGGACAGATCAATCGACAAGCATTTAGTAAGTTCCAGGCACTGTGCTAAGCACTAGGAATACTAAAAAAGGGGAAGAATCCTTGCTCTAAAGGAGCTTACATTCCAAGAGATGAATTCCTTCATCATTAGTGTACATTTATTTCCAGTAGGGAGTGGAAGGTGCTCCTTACCCCAAAGTACACATTTCCCCAATCTACTGCCCCACCTGCCCCTCTCCACCCATTCTCCAAAAGTCTTAGCCAAAATGGGTAAAGAAAAATGCATGGAAATAAAAAGTGTTGCTAGGAAACAGGGTGGACCTGTCCTCTGACATGTTTTTCGGTAGCTGCCCTTCCTAATCTATTCCTTAGGATCCACTGACCTGAACTCTGGATTCAGTCAGCTCCAGGCGAGCAGCTAATTCTTTTCTGTGGGAGAAAAACAAAAACCCAAATATTTAATGACCAGGCCTGGAGGTGGAGAAAGAGTCACACACTCATCTCCTGTTTTTATGGTTGCGCTCACCTAGAAACATACATGAATTTATTTCCTACTCAGTTGCAGGTTCAATTAAGGAATATTTTAGATCAGATACCTTAGAGGGAGATGAGAAGGGGGTCAACTTTTTTACTGGCAAGGTTCTAAATGACAATAAACACAAACTCTTTTGGACTTGTGTACTTGCAGCCAGAGGTCCCGGCCCTGGTGAAGGGAGTTTCCACACCGGGCTGTTCCTCACGTCAAGGAAATCGAAGATCATGGCAGGAACTTAAAATTAGTTTCTAGCCAGAAACTCCCTGCTCTTTTTGTGAAAGCAACCCCAAGGCCACACCAAAACGAGGAAGGCAAGGGGGAAAGTCAGTTCTGTCCTGCTGCACGGCAAGTGACCGGAGCAAAACTGCCCTTTGTAAAATGGGGGTGGAGCTGTGGCAGAGTCCATTGTCCCACCCCACACTGGGTAGCAGTAAAGGGCAAGGGTCTTCAGTGTAGGAGGCCCTGCTGCCACGCTTCTCTTGAGAGGGAGGGAAGGAAGGCACGGGTGAAAGGAAGCGTAGCGGGGGCCCAGCGCTGGCTGCGATCGACCCCCTTCTCTCACCTGGTGATGATGTCTGGGTATTGAGACTGCTGAAAGGCGCGCTCCAGCTCCTCCACCTGGAGAGCAGTGAAGGTGGTGCGGCAGCGGTGCTGCTTCTTTTTCTGGGGTTCGCCGGCCGGCCCAGGTTCTGCCGCTTCTGGCGGGTTTGCTTCGGCATCTGGGGCTGCTTCAGCTGCTGCGGCTTCTCCAGTTTCTGGGGCCACTCCAGCTCTGGCCCCCGCTGCTCCCGCGGCCGCGGGCGCTTCCGCTCCACCGGGCTGCTCCTGGCGTCGGGGACGCCCTCTTCTCTTTCTGCCTCTTCCTTCAGTTGCTGCCACTGCAGCTGCAGCTGCTGCCGCCGCTGCCCCTTCTTCTCCTCCCATCCAGCCAGCTTCCACGAGTTCTTCCAGCCCTGCCTGAACCTCGACGCCGAAGCCCAGGCCCAGGCCGGCAAAGGGGATGTCAATTCGTCTTCGGTCATCAACCTGCTCTCTTTCACCTCCTGCCTCCGCAGGGGCTTGGGGTCCCTCAGCCGCCCACTCGGGTGCGACTGCCTGGGTATCGTCACCTGGAAAAGGAGAAACGGCCGCGATCGCGAAGGGCCTCGACGGGCAGGGCCAGTCTTCGCTTCCCAGCAAGGCAAGCCTTCCCCACTCCGCAACCTCAGAGCAGAATATGGAGAAGGGGACTCTCTGCCCACTTCCAGCCCTGGGATCATCCTTTGACAGCTGGGACTGCTGGACCGAAACTAGGGCGCCCTTCCTCACAACTCTGGCACCGAACGCTAGGGGGGCTCCCTACTCTCGGCTGGAGGAACTTTCCATTGTAAACCCCCGTCGTTGCCGAAAGAGTGTGTGTGTGTGTGGGGGGCACTTGAGCTACCTCACTCCCCCCCGCCCCTCCTCCCTTTTCCCCAGCCTGGGTGTCAGCTGTGATGAACTTGACCAGCTCTTTACCGCGTGACCACCTACCCTACCCAACACCCGGCCTCAGTGCTTTTCCTTGAGGAAAGACGGAGGATTGGAAGCCCAGATGGCTGCCGAAGTGTGTTGTGTAGGACGTCTAGCCTAGATACCTCACCTCAGCCCAAAGTTCTCTTCCGTAGAGAAAATGAAGGCTTCCCACTAGTCCCCCTCGCGGGATTGTTAAATTAAGGTTCTTATGGCAGAACCGAAGTGCGACTCTCGTTATCTCCTCCCAACCCTCCTCCTCTTCCATCTCTCTCCTTCCTTCCCTACTCTGTGATCGCCTCTAAAGACTGTGCAAACTCCCTCCCCAAGCTCTCTCTATCCAGGGCACGACCTCAAGAGATGAGGGGGGAGGAAACCATGCTACCAATTCTGCCCCACCCTAGTAATATCTGAGGAGGAAATTAATAAAGTCCCTTTCCCCCTTTTCTGCCTAGAGACGTACCGAGAGCACTACGGTGGGGGCTGAAATGGGTGGGGCGAGCACCAAAGATACCAACCCCAACCTGGACCCCTCCCTCAGTGATCCCCTCCAAGGAGAAAATGCGCACGTTGTACGTGTTCCCTCCCTCAGCCCCTAAACCAGTCGATCCATAGCAGGAGTTTCTTTTTTCTTCTTTTTTTGGGGGAGAGAGGATAGGCAATGGGGTTAAGTGACTTGTCCAAGGTCACACAGTTAGTAAGTGTTGTGTGTCTTAGGCCGAATTTGAACTGAGGTTCTCCTGACTCCAGGGCCGGTGCTCTATGCACTGCAGCGCCACCTAGCTGCCCCCATAGCAACAGTTTCTAGGGGCCCCCACCGACCTACCATTCCCCCAACACTGACCTCGACCCCCCCCACCCCGTGATCTCCTTAGGAAAAAATGGGATTAAACTTTCGTTTCCTTTTCCCAAGATTCTTCGACTGCATTGTCATCTACGTCATTAGACTTCTAGGGACTCCCACCACACCGCCACCCTCCAACACTGACCCCGCCCCCGCCCCCCCTTCCCGTGATCTCCTGAGTAGAAAATGGGACGACTCTTTTCTTTTCTTTTCATCCGGACTCCAAGACTGGTCGTCAGCATTATCGTCGACGTCATTAGACTTCTAGGGGCCCCCCACCGCGCTACCATTTCCCGCCCCTCCCCTCCCCGCCCACGCCCCCGCCCCGCCATCTCCTGAGAAGAAAATGGGACGACTCTTTCTTTTCCTTTCCCCGGACCCCAAGATTCGTCCACGGCATTATCATCGACGTCATTAGACTTCTAGGGGCCCCCCACCGCGCTACCATTTTCCCGCCCTTCACCGCCCCCGCCGCCGCCCGCGTCCCCGCCCCCCTCCCGTGATCTCCTGAGGAGAAAATGGGACGACTCTTTCCTTTCCTTTCCCCAGACTCAAGATTCGTCGACGGCATTATCGTCTACCTCATTAGACTTCTAGGGGGCCCCCCACCCGCTACCATTCCCCTAACACTGACTCCGCCCCCCACTGTGATCTCCTGAGGAGAAAATGGGACGACTCTTTCTTTTCCTTTCCCCCATCTCAAGATTCGTTGACGGCTATAGCCTTCTAGGGGCCCCCCCACCGCGCTACCATTTCCCGCCCCTCCCCTCCCCGCCCGCGCCCCCGCCCCGCCATCTCCTGAGAAGAAAATGGGACGACTCTTTCTTTTCCTTTCCCCGGACCCCAAGATTCGTCCACGGCATTATCATCGACGTCATTAGACTTCTAGGGGCCCCCCACCGCGCTACCATTTTCCCGCCCTTCACCGCCCCCGCCCCCGCCCCCCTCCCGTGATCTCCTGAGGAGAAAATGGGACGACTCTTTCCTTTCCTTTCCCCAGACTCAAGATTCGTCGACGGCATTATCGTCTACCTCATTAGACTTCTAGGGGGCCCCCCACCCCGCTACCATTCCCCTAACACTGACTCCGCCCCCCACTGTGATCTCCTGAGGAGAAAATGGGACGACTCTTTCTTTTCCTTTCCCCCATCTCAAGATTCTTTGACGGCTATAGCCTTCTAGGGGCCCCCCACCGCGCTACCATTTCCGGCCCTCCCCTCCCCGCCACCGCCCCGCCCCGTGATCTCCTGAGGAGAAAATGGAACGACTCTTCCTTTTCCTTTCCCCCGACCCCAAGATTCGTCGATGGCTATAGCCTTCTAGGGGTCCCCCACCGCGCTACCATTTCCCGCCCGTCCCCCCGCCTCTGCCCACGCCCCCCCCCCGGTTATCTCCTGAGGAGAAAATGGGACGACTCTTTCTTTTCCTTTCCCCAGGCCCCAAGATTCGGCGGCGGCATTTGCCTTCTAGGGGCCCCCCACCCCGCTACCATTACCCCAACGCCGCCCCTGCCATCTGCTGAGGAGAAAATGGGATGACTTTTCCTTTTTCTTTCCCCAGGCCCCAAGATTGGTCGACAACATTAGCCTTCTAGGGGCTCCGCACCGCGCTACCATTCCCCCAACGCCGACTCCGCTCCCCCCGCCCCCGACCTCCTGAGGAGAAAATGGGACTACTCTTTGTTTTCCTTCCCCATTCCCCAAGATTCGTCGACGGCGTTATCGTCGACTTCATTAGACTTCTAGGGGCGGCCACCCCATATCACATTATCTCTAGTTGCCTCTGAGAGAAAAAAAAACTGGAGGCCGCCCGAAGTTACTGTCCCCACCCGAAACCCACTCAGTGCTATTTCTCTTCCTGCACCCCGCCCCTCCTACCATTTCAGCTGGAAGGATGAGGGGCTTCCCACTTGCTCTGAACCCAGAGATCTCTCGGTTGTCCGCCCGCGTCGCCCACCCCCCAATAGACTCCACTTTATCCCAGTGTTCTTTGTGCAAAGGATGAGGGGGGCTCCGTACCCACCCTCGGCCTCGAGAACGGTTAGATTTTGAGGCCATGACCTAGCTTAAGAAGGGGTTCCCTCCCGCGTTACCCGTACTCTAATTCCATAACCCAACCCTCCTTCAGACCCGGGGGCTTACCTTGCCGAGCTGCTTGTGCGCGTTCCGGATTCTGAGCCATGACTTCGTCAACGAAATAAGTGAGCACATGCAGAGTTTGCGACTGGCCAGATTGAGCCCCCACAGGCACCGGGACCGGGACCGGGACCAGGACAGGTACCGGCAGCGGGTCTGGTGCACGGAAGTCGCCTATGGGCAGCGGCGGATGGAAAGCAGGCAGCACTGGGTTGCCCTCGGGGGCCAAGGCCCCGGGGCCGCCCGGGACCGGCATCACGGGCTGTGGAGGAAGCTGTGGGGCCTGAGCGGGCGGACCCATTGGTTTTCGGGCACCGGCCAACAGCATCCTCGTGACGTCGCCGTCGTCGCCCCTGTCTTCTCTGTCACCGACACCGACACCGACTTCTGCACCGTCTACTCTTTCTTCATTCCCAGGCTGTGAGAGCGCCTCTGCTGGGTTTGCAGCCTCTGGAAGAACCCTCTGGCCCTGGAACGGACGCCAAGGCGTGGACACAGCTGAGCGAGGAGGCAAAGGCCAGAGCCTTCGGAAAGGTGCCTCCTCCACTGGCCTGTCTCCAGCCAGGGCGTCCTGGCTAGTGCCAGGGACCTCAGAGTCGCGCACTAGCCGTGCCCTCTGCATCTCCGCTGCCGTCCCACAGACTTGTGAGGAAGAGCGTCTCTCTGGAGAGCTAAGTGTATCGCCTGCTCCACCCACTTTCCTGCTACCCGGGGGGGGGGGAATGTCCCTCCCCCTGGGTCCCTAACCACAAGTACTTCAGGCTCGGGACGAGGCTTGTGATTGGCACTGAGCCTTGTCACTGTGAGCTTATGAGCCAGTCCCGAAAGCGATCTCCTCACCCCCTCCCTCCCCCGCCCCGCGGATACTTTTGATACTCTGAACTCTGCCTAGAGCCCAGATACCTGGGGGGTGGGGGATGGGAAAAAAGAAACATCTGGATTCCAAGGCATCTCAAGCAGGTCACAGTTACGTGTGACTGGGGGCTTCTACAGTGACACGAAACGCTCGGACATTTACAGCCACCTTAGGCTCTGGACAGTGCTACCTTGCCCCTTTCTGTGTCCCCACTCCCTTGATCCCATCCTCCTTTATGAAAGAGACCTTGTGGGAAAAGCAGGGATTTTGTCATTTTTCCAACTAATTGGGGAATAAATGTAGGAGTGCAAACCCTTCATTGTTTAGGACATTCTGACAGTGCAAGTGGCTGTCCTTCAGCTACCCTGAGGAACCGCTTCCACTTACTAACCAATACCCTGATGACCCTCTATCCTAGAGGCGGGGTTTGAATCTCATCTAACTGGAGAGAATTAATTGCCTGTGAGATCTGATTTTTTGTGGACATGTCACTGACCCTCTCTCTCATACCTTCAGTTTGCTCATCTGTTGTGATGTCCAAAATATTGGACATCACCTCATAGAATCAAAGATTTAGAGCAGGAAGAGGAAAGTCAGGTGCAGGGAAGTAAAATAAAGTGACTTGACCAAATGACATGTTACACAGGTAGTAAGGGTCGGGTAGGATTTGAACGCAGGTCCAGTGTATTTTGCATCTTTTTCAGTCAAGTGGTAGTGTCAGAAATCACACCACAAGGGATTAAAAAGTGAGTAGAATGTGAGGACATGAAAGCAACAAATGTGCACAACTGTTTGTAGGAATTTTTGGCTTTGAAAGGATAAAAAAAGTATGAAGGAACAACAGAGTCAAATAAAGGTTTAAGGATTAGGGAGATCTGGGCATGGTCATAGACTGTGAAGAAATGCATAAGGAGAAATGGAAGATGAGAGACAAGCGACAAATTCGAGGAGAGACTGGAGATGATGAAGACACGTAAGGAGTGGAGTGGAGGGCGGGAGGAGAGAGAGCTAATGGTCTCTAGTGACAAATGCCTCTTTTTCTCAGTAAAAGTAGGAAATGTGTACGGATGCTGAGAAGGAGTGGAGGTGGAGACAGAGGCAGGTCTGCAGCAGGTGGAGAAAGTTAAGAACTGTTTTAGAGGAGAAAATAATAACTAAACCAAGCCAGAATCAAAAGATTCTGGCATAGCTGGTAGTATGTTGTTGAGATGGTCACCTACCATGTCAAGTCTGTAAAGGGAGTGAAAGGGGAACAGAGCAGGGACAATTGAAACAGGGAAAGCAAGAAGGATTTCAGGGACTTACGGTCATAGTGAGGGCAAAGTGAGGTGGTAAGGTGGGAGAGGCTGAGTAAGAGATAGAATGTTGTGTTTTGGACATTGAAATCTCAAGAGTTCTGGATCATGGAGGGGGAATGGGGCCAAGGTAAGACCATCCTTGTGTATGGTCAAGGTGGGGTGAAGATGGAAATTGACAGTCGGGGGGCTGGGATTGGGGGTGGGTGAACTGAGGTGCCAGGCGTTCAAAGGGTCATCCTGATGTACTTGACAACATTGCTTCATTGTAGAGACTTGGATGGAAAGGAGTGTTGTGAGTCAGGTACTGCGCTCAAGAAAGGAAGGAGAAAGTTGAAGGTTTTGACAAGGAATTGGACAGGATGGTAACAACAGGAAAGGATGAACCTTGAAGGAAAAGAAGTTATTAATAATTATGATGAAGGCCAACATTTATATAGCATTTGAATATATGCAAAACAGTTTCTAGATTTGTTTCTCACGATAGCCCTGCATAATAGGCCCTGGTATAAATTTTTACAGATGAGGAGTTATAAGAGGTCATGTAAGTTCCCCGGGGTCACAGTCAAAGGCAATGGTGACTAAGTGGCTCGTCTAAGGTAATATTCAAATGCAGGTTTTTCTGACTCCAAGCCCAGCACTTTGGCAAATCAGGGAGTGAAGGGGAAAGAGAGAGGGATCTGGGAATGGGCTGAAGGGGTGAAAAGTGTGCTTATTACTCCCGACCCCGTGATTTTCTGGCGTGAGAGGAGCACCCAGTATGGAGAGAGTAGCCAGGGATTTGGTGTCTTCTGGTGAAGCCAAGTTTCTGATAGTGCCAGAGGGTGGGCAGTATGAAGTGAAAAGATGGGGAGGGCTCAGTGGAAGGGGAGGGCAGAGTACAATGTGGGCTACAGGTGGAAAGCTTGAAAATATAAAGAGAGCTAGGAGGGGGAGGAAACTTCCTCCTGAGCAAATGTGGACTCCCCAGCATGGGGATAAGGGGAATAAGAGTTGAGAATTTTACTGGTATTAAGATGGGGAATGACCAATGATGAGTCACCCACCCCCTAGGTTCCTACGACAAATGAGGCAGTGTGGGACCTTAACCAGTCTCTAGGATTAAGTTTGGTCATTATAATGATGGTACTCAAATTTTGTTTTCTTCTTTCCATTCATATTGTTGAGGGGGTCAAACCAGATTTCCAAGGTTCTGTCCCAGTTCCAACATCCTATGTTTCTTTGCTTCTATTCTAGGTAGAAATTTGTTTTTCACAAATTGAATTTGCTTAAAGTGGACTTCACCGTTCCTAGCAATGGCTAGTCTTGGGTACCTGGGCAGGTAGTTTCTACTGTTTACTCTGAGGTATTAACTAAAGCTACAAACCTGCCCCCTTAGAGAGCCATGATTTCTAATTCTGACTGGCTCACATATGGATGTTCTGTGGTCATGGTTCTTGGATTTTGTGAATCTACAAACTGGTTAGCTGGGGCAAAAGACCTACTCCCATCCTCTCCATTCCAGAGGGATCCTTAATAAGATCAATGGGATGAGTAGTATTGTTTTTCTTGAGACTCCAATGGTATATGTTTTTAAAAATTAAATATCCTAAGTAAATTATTCATTCCTGCCATGAAAAGTCCAGATCTGGTCACATCTTCATCTTCATCATCACCCTATCCCTGATGTTGTTCCAGAGCTGCTTTCAATGAGTTGGCTGATGTAATTGAATACAAAAAGAAATCATCTTGTCCAGCTGTGAGAAGGTCTGTAGACTATGAAATTCCAGGGAGGCTGGGCCTTGCCTTCTGCACGAAAATAAAAGGTGACTCAACTAATTTTTCATTGTGATCTTCTTTCTACATAAGGAAAAGGACTATAATCTATATAACACCTAACAATCAATGAAGTTTAGGGACCGGTTGATGGTGTGACTGGGGTACATGGGATCGTAGATCTAGAGCTGATAGGACCCTCAGAGGCTAACTCATACAACAACGCTTTCAGTTTGGAGAGGAGGAAACTAAGGCCCAGGGAGGAAAAAAAAACTATCTGCAGAGGGTCTAAATGGGGCTAAATGGCAGAATACAGATCAGAGCCCATGTCCAGTGGTTCTAAGATCTTTGATTTTTTTTCATTGTATCCCACTAGATTTCACTCTAGCCATTAGCCAAGTGCTTGGTGGGGAACAGTGGGGAGCATGGAGGGCCTGAGGCCTTTAAAATACACGCATCCATTTTTCCAAGTCCTCGGTTGCTATGTGGGAAGCATTTCAGAATGCTACCAACCTAGTATGGGAAGCTTTCAGGTATGGGAAGGAAGGGAGAACTTTGGGGCAGAGCTGTGACCAGCAGCATGGAAAGAGCCCTCAAATCAGATTTTTAAGACAAAGTTAGTCAGGGTAGGTGAAGGCAAAGGCCTCCCTTCCCCTTCCCTCCCCCCTCCATCCCTCCAGTGAAGAGGGAGAGGGAGGGAAAAGCTTCATCAACCTTGACATCTACTGGCTTTCACTTTAACTAATTGTTCTTGCTAATTAAACGCCAAGGTCAGTTGTTTCTACCTACTGGAGGAGTGTAAGGCCTGTCAGCGCTCTATATTTCAGGGCCAGAGTTGCAGCTCTGGTCAAGACTCCCTTTCTTTCTTGGGCAAGGTCATAGGATCCTAGCTTGAGAGCTGACAGGGTCTTTAGAGACCACTGAAGTCCAGTCCCCTCATTTACTATAAGAGGAACCTGATACCTAGGGAATGACCTACCCAAGCTCACACATAGGATTCTAGATCTATAGGGGGCCTCAGAGGCCATATAGGCCAAGCCCCCCCCCCCAACTTACTTAGGGGAAAATTATGGCTGAAGGAGGGGAAAGTGACTTTTCCAAGGCTACACAGATTATAGGGACCAGAGATGGGACTTGAACCCAAATCTTCTAACTCCAGAAACAGTGTTCTTTCTGCTGTACTACCAGCTTCTACCCTGTTTGGTGGGGATGGGAGAATAGAGACTGGAGTTTCTCAAGGGTGTGTTTGCTTGCTATTCTAAGCATGAATAAAAGAATTAACACATCAAGGTCAACATCCTTTAGAAATATCTATTATGACTACAAATACAGCCCCCCATTCCCTCCCTTCCCCCTCATTTTATTTGGGAGTTGATTAGGAGAAAAGGCTTCTACCATTCACCACTTAATTACCACCTTAACTAACTATTTCATTTATTTGAAGTCTTTGTGCTGTGCAATATAATACAATATTTATTATTCAGTGCCTATACCCCTTAATAAAAGGATTTGTTCTATGAAGTTTGGACTCAGTCAAAGGGCCAAACTTGAGGACCTAGAAGGCCACTGTATTCAGAACCTTGGAGGAGCTACAAAGTTCAGGTGACCTTGATCACTGCCCTCAGGGAGATCCTAGTGGGGAGATCCAAACTGATACAGTGAACTTTATTCACAATCAGGGAAACTCCTGCCTCTGACCCACACTGGCTGTGTGACTTTTGTCG